GAATAGAATAGAAGAAGGAAGGAGAATAGAATGGAATGGAATGGAATGGAATAGAATAGAATAGAATAGAATAGAATAGAATAGAATAGAATAGAATAGAATAGAATAGAATGGAATAGAGAAAGAAGGAAGGAGAATGGAATAGAATGGAATGGAATGGAATGGAATGGAATGGAATGGAATGGAATAGAATAGAATAGAATAGAATAGAATAGAATAGAATAGGATTCTTTATTGGGCAAGTGTGATTGGACACACAAGGAATTTGCCTTGGTGTAAATACTCTCAGTATACATAAAGAAAAGATACATTCATTAAGAATCATAAGGTACGACACTTAATGACAATCATAGGGTACAAGCAACAATCAAATCATATTAGGAAACAGTCAATATAAATCATAAGGATACAAGCGACAAAGTTACAGTCCTACAATCACAAGTGGGAGGGGATGGGTGATAAGGAGTGATGACAAGATTAACAGTAATAGTAGTGCACACTTTGTAAATAGTTGGACCGTGTTGAGGGAATTATTTGTTTAGCAGAGTGAAGGCATGGGGGGGAAAACTGTCCTCGTGTCTAGTTGTTCTGGTGTGCAGGGCTCTATAGCGTCATTTTGAGGGAAGGAGTTGAAACAGTTTATGTCCGGGATGTGAGGGGTCTGTAGATATTTTCACAGCCCTCTTTTTGACTCGTGCAGTATCCAGGTCCTCTATGGAAGGCAGGTTGGTAGCCATTGTTTTTTTCTGCAGTCCTAATTCCTCTCTGGAGTCCGTGTCTGTCCTGTTGGGTTGCAGAACCAAACCAGACAGTTGCAGAGGTGCAGATGATCGACTCAATCATTCCTCTGTATAGTAACAACTGTATAGCAAGTTGTTAAGGCCGCCTGGAAGTCATCTGTGTCCTCAGGGTCACCTGAGTAGTGCAAATGGGTGTGGAGACTTCTTGGAACTCAACAGAGGGGGGTGGGGAGGCATCATCTATCTCCAATCTGCAACACAGTCCTTTCAACGGTTCCAAGAACCTGAGCCCTCACCCTAACCCTCTCCCACCAAGCCACGCCCACAGAACCGGTAGTAAAAAAAAAATTGGAATCCCGCCACTGATTTCTATTCGGTTCGATTCTTCCTCTCTCTAGCCCCCAGAAGAGGTACCGCCGGAGACCTTCAAGAAAGTGGCCTTTGAGTTTGAAATCCCGGTCTGCAAAGGCGTCCTGGACTACGCGGCGCCCGACCTGGTGCAGTTCAAGCAGTACTGCTGCCTCTTCTGGGGCAGCGTCTTCTCCTTCCTGCAGCAGGTGGAGGCTCTGATGAAGGACTACGCCGTCCCCCTGGCCATCGTCCTGGGGAAGAGAGCCATGGACCTCGTCCCGCACTTCGAGCTAAGCCAGAGGGCCACCCGGGAGGAAATCCTCTCGGTCTTAAAGAACGTGTCCACCGTTCAGAAGCTTTTAAAGCAGCCCGGCCGGAGGTACAAAGGCGAAAACGGGACCCAAAAGGCGGCCACCAAGATCCAGGCGACGTGGAGGTGCTACAAATTGAGAAAGTCCTACATTGGGTTCAGGCATCGGCAGTGGGCCTCAGGCATCATTGCCATTTCTTGGCTGATCCACGTTCACCTGAAACGGGTCCGAAAGACGCTGAAGGAATCTCGGCAGAAACACCTGGAGAACTTCCGCCTCAGGAGCACGGTAGCTGCTTGGCCCCTTTGTCTCAGCATCCCTGCCCAATGATTGCAATCAAATGTTCCTTTCTCTCTCCCCCCCCTCCCTCCCCCCATTTAACTCTACCCTTGTCCAAGCATATTTTACACATCATTAAATGTGCAGTCTTTGGTACCTACAGTCTGCCTCCATTCCCTCCCTCCCTCCCTCCCAAACAACTGCTGCTTCTCCTTTGCGGCGTGAAATGGGGAGAACAAAACCCCTTCTCGTCCAAAAATGTATTCGGTAGGTTTGGAACAGGCAGCTTTTGATTGCATTTAGCACCGCGCTTCTTTAGGGATCGCTTCGGTTCTGCTCTCTCTTTTTTGTTTTCCTGACTTCAGGTTTAAAAGGCACAACCCAGAAAGAGGGGAGGGGGGGAGGGCATTAATAGCCAGACTGTTGTTCGTTGACAGCTGTCAACTGTCCAGCTTCTGCCAATGCCAAGCCCTGGACATCATTATGTCCTTCCCTGCCTCCGTCCTCTCCTTCCAATTTTACTAGATACCCGTACAGTACTTATCATACTTTCAGTTTTATCCGTAGATTATTTTTTACCTTTTGATGCCATTTATAGCCTGCCTTTCCCGGTCAGGTAACTTACACAAGGGGTCTAGCAGAAGTTCAAAAAAAGAAACTCTCAAGATGCTATAAGTTATAAATCCACGCATCCTTAAAAGTGGCTGTGTTTGAGAAACTCTGCCTGAGGGTTTTTAAAAGCAGCCAGGGCAGCGGCTGAATTTTGCATCGGTGGACATTCCAGGGTTCAAGGGCGGCTCCATGCAGAGCACACCGCGGTAGTCAAGAGGGTGTAAAGTCAGGGCATGGATTCCGTGTTCCCAAGAGACACTTTGGTGTGGCCCAGCCTCCTCCGGCAGCAAATGTGGTGCCTTCTTCCCACCTTTCTCTCCTCTGCGGTCTCTCTCTCCCCTACTCTTCCTTTCCAACACAATACCGTGCACTTGATTTGTGGCCCACAAAAACAATCTCCCTCGCCTCTGTGGCAGTCACTACTTTGTCAGAAAGTACTTAAGTTTGCAGACAAGCTTTTAATTAGTGCTCACCATTTCATTTATGTTTGCTTTCTCTCTCTCTCTCTCTCTCTTTTTTTTTCATTCATATTCTGTTAATTAAGTGATCAGCCTCTAATCTTCCCCTGCCAGTAGCTTCATGTAGCCATCTAATTAAATTAATTGGGGAAGATGTTTTAAGTATGTGATTAAATCAATTAATATAATTTATGCCTGGCTTAACTGTACAGTGGGAAAAACGGAGGAGGGGGAACAGCTGAAGTTCGGCTGGGTTGCATCCGCGGCAGGTCCCTCCTGTCACTGATCAATGCCTTTTCTTGATTTTTAGCATCTGGCCGCCAACTGGAATCGCATCAGGAGCTCTAGGAGGACGATTATCCATATCCCATCGTTAGGTAGAGGAACGCTTTTGTCTCTGGGTTCTTTCAGCAACCCCTATTACACACCGCATTATGACTCCTTGATTGAGTTCAAGGAAGGCCTTGTTTTATTCAAATTGGTCTCGGCAGGAAAATGTTGTCGACATGATGAGAGTAATAACACAGGGCCTTCACTTGAAACGGCAGCGTTTAATTTGGGGATTAAGCAAATAAAGTCATTATGTAGAGGCCGCTATTCAGAGGAGAGGTGATTTGCGGTAATTCGCTTCCTTCTGTATGAAATGAACTAAAAAGTTGTCTTCTCTCACACACACACCCGCCTTCCTGCCCTCCCTTTTTCTTTCCTCGCTGCCCTCCCCTTAAAAAAAACCCACCCTCCCCCAGCCTCACAAACAGGGTTTCTGCTTGCCTTCCACAAGGAGGGGGTGTGGGTTTGCTGGCTTGGGTTGCTGTTGCGCCGATAAGCCAGGATGCTGCTTGCACCTTGCTTTTAATCAAATGTGCAGTCAAAATGATAAGCCGCGTTCTCTGAAATTATTTAGTTCTAATTACGAGCAGATGGGAGGGTTTATTTGCACCTTGGGCGCCTAGCAAAAGGAAATGCTGTGGTGAACAAGAATAATTAAGAAGTTGAATAGTGGGGTAGTTTGTGTGTGTGTGTGTGTATGTGTGTGTGTGCTTAAATAATCTGCAGCTCCATGTTAATTAGCACTCGGGTAATTATTTAATTACATTTATGAATTGGGGGGCTTAAGAGCCGTTTCCCTGTGCATCTGGGGGGGTTTTTGCAAGCCAAGATGTTTCTCAAAAGGATCTTTCTAGGACATGGCTGCTAATGGGAACAGCGGCCCACGTTTTAAAATAAAGCAGCTAGCTCTCTTTTAATTGGGGCCATACGGAAAATGTCTCCGCAGAAGATATCCAAGCGACCTTCCTTTTGACTGCAGCCCTCCATGGCCGACGTCGCTGTTGCGGCTGTAGAGTTTGCGGAGAGCAGTTCGTTGAACAGCTGATGGAAGGGCCGGCTCTGAGCATCCTCGGCCATCACTTCCACAGCTCTGCTCTTCTCCAGACCCCCTTTAAAGTCTCAAGTGAAGCTGGCAGGGTGTTTCATCTATATTTAGTCTAGTCAAAGACCAGAGACCAGAGCAAGTGAAAAACACTCAAGGAACGTCCAGTTAAAAAAATTCTAGAATTAAATAATAAATAACAGATCAAATCTGGATCAAAATCACCATCTGGCATCCCAATCAGTCAGTTGCACACAAGCAAAACGCAGCATGGCCTAACTGTAATATCAGTCCTTAAATTGTGAGACCCAAAATGCAAGCGAGTGATAATGCAAACCGGGCTTGCTGCATTAATTGTGTAAAACAGCTATGATGGATTAATCACCTGTTTCCGTTGAATTCCCACCGCTGCTGCGCAGAATCTTGGCACCTGCGGTGAAGCTTGCAGTATTGCACATCACAAAATTTCTCTTTCCTTTCTTTCTTTCTTTCTTTTTTTTTAAAAAAAACAAAGTTTCTACTGCTTTTGATTGACATGCAAGCACCACTTTAGAAAATCCTTGGTTTCTTAAAAACAGATCCTTCCAGGAATCCTGTCTTGGCTACAGTAAAAAGGCTTTTCAGGAAGTGGAAAAAAATCAATATCATTTTTTCCCCTTTCTGTTATCAAATGTCACAGATGCAAAATACACAAAATATTAATCTCTTTTAAGTAAATTGTTGCTCTTTTTTGAAGACATTTTATACAGAAAATAAAATGATAAAATATAACTAGAGAACCAAGATCTTTGGCATACTTGCAGTTTTAATAAATGTTAGATTTGATAGATTTCAGAATATATGTCTTTGCCTAACCCGGGAAGGACAGTTTTTTAATTCCAGGGATTAAAACAGCTTTACATGAAAATAATGCAGCTGAGTTACTGAATCCCAGTTCCTGGAAGAAACCATAACTGGAATTTTTTTCATCCCATTTGAGAGTCCTTGATTGTCACCCCAAATGTCACCCCATTTGAGAGTCCTTGATTGATGCCACTAAAAATAAAATCACATGCTTTTAACCAAACCTGCAATGATATACATGCTTATTCTGAAGCAACATTTGTTGAACCCAAATTGTTAATTAACTCAAGGCAAGTTTAAAGTTCAAGTAGACCTTGAATCACGGCCACATTTGAGCCCAAAATTTCTGTTGCTAAGTCATACATTTTACAACCATTCTTGCCACCGTTGTTAAGCAAATCCCTGCAATTTTTTAAGTTAGTCACACGGTCGTTAAGTGAGTCTGGCTCAAGCAAAATTGATTTTGCTTGAGAGAAGGTCGCAAAAGGGGATCATGTGACTCCTGAGAACACTAAAACCATCATAAATATGAGCCAGTAAGATGGCATCATCTTAAGATGGAGACGTGAAGCTGGATTAGAGACCAACATTCAAAGACACAATATGGTTCCCTTCATGTGTGTGTGTTTGCAGACATGATGATTGGATGCCAGAGCTCTGCATAGTTTCATCTTCATTCAAGAGCCGCTTGTTTACAAGCTCTGGTTGCATTTCATGAAGGTCAGAGAATAAAGTCTACTAACTAACTAACTAACTAACTAACTAGCTTTTTCTTAGAAGTGTGTGCATGGATGGAAACTGAACAAGGAGAGATTCAACCTGGAAAGAAGGAGAAATTTTCTGACAGTGAGAACAATCAATCCATGGAAGTTGTGGGAGCTTCATCACTGGAGGCTTTCAAGAAGAGACTGGACTGCCATCTGTCAGAAATGGTGTAGGGTCTCCTGCTTGGGCAGGGGGTTGGACTAGATGACCTACAAGGTCCCTTCCAACTCTGATTATCTGTTATCTGCCTGTTGGCCCAATAGAAACTTTTTATATTCAAAAAATAAAGTCAGCCTTGTGATTAATTATTCTTCAGTTGTGCTTATATTAACCAATAATGACGCTGCAGTATTTCATGAGCCTGCATAAAAAAAGTTTGTGACTATGAAAACTTTGAAATGATAATTGGGAAGTCATTTCATGTGCACTGATACTGAAGAGCCATCACTTGGTTGAATTTATGACAGAATAATATCTTGTGGTTTGACATAATACTTTTACTGAAATGGTTCCTTTTGATTTAAATTTCCCTCACATTAGAAATGCTCTTAAATGGAAAGTTGGGGGTATTCTTAATCTATGGGAATCTTCTCAGTTTTTCTTTTGTCTGATTATCCAGGACCACAAACAAATTATACAGTTTAGTAATAGACGTGATAAGGTTGTGTCCTACTATTTCTCAAATAAATATGTGCATTTTTAAAACAAATGTGAACATTCCATTCCATTATTTTTGAATTGTGTTGATATGAAAGAGCTTTCATCAAATTAAAATGTGGCCTTCAGGGGGTGTTACTTTCTCGTGATACAAACCGCTCTGCCCCATAGCAGTTTGTGGGACTCGATCTAATGGATGATTTTGCACGTTTTTCCTTTTGCCATATGATCCACTAACATCCTATTTTAATGCTACTTTAACTGCTGAATAAGAGATCTAGCTATTATTACAAACCTGGGAGAAGATGGAAAACAACCTCCTGATCGATCAGGAAACGCAGCTAACTCTAGGTTAGAGAGTTTCTCAACTTCCAACAACTTTAAATAGGCGGACTTCAACTTCCAGAATTCCCCAACCATACAGGCTGGAGAATTCTGGGAGTTGAAGTCCACCGACCTTAAAGTAGCAGAGGTTGGGAGGCTGAGGTTGGGAGATTCTGCTCTAGATCTTACCCTTCTATAAAGCTATAGAACAGGGGTGTCCAACCTTGGCAACTTTAAGGCTTGTGGACTTCAGCTCCCAGAATTCCTCAGCCAGCTTTGCTGGCTGAGGAATTCTGGGAGTTGAAGTCCACAAGCCTTAAAGTTGCCAAGGTTGGACACCCCTGTTATAGAAGCTATACAGTGATAGAGGTGGGAACTCCATAAATTTTGAGTTAAATCCCCATCAATGAAACCTGACGCTAGTCTGCCACCGTTTTATTCGTTGCGGGAGCCTTTGAGATCCAAATGCTTCAGCATCTTGGAATATCCCAACCGTTTGAACCAGGTGGTTCAAAAGTCTCCTGTCGGGATGTTAGAAGACCCCTGAAGTCCCTACCAGCCCTGCCATTTCATGTTCCATGCCTGTTTTCCTGTCTTCATTCTCCGTGCAGTTGGACACACTGAGATGCTTAGGCTTTTGACTTTTGAGGTTGGTCCTTGATCCCCATTAAGCACTAGAGAGAATCAAGTAGATCTGTAGCATGGGAAGGTCCACCCCAGTGAAGGATCCCCTGGTGAGATGGCATCTCAGGCCCAGGAATTAGATTCCTTGCGAAGCTGTTAAGAATTTTCATCCAGGCTTGCTTTTCAAAGTAGTTATACAGGTGAGGCTCAAAACAGACTTACATACTCATGTAGTATGGCTGTATTCTTATCTTTTCTTCTTATCTTTTTCCACTGTCTTCTGTTGGTATCTTATGATGATAATATTTTGTTGTTTGTATACACTGAGAGTTTATGCACTAGAGATAAATTCCTTGTATGTCCATTCACACTTGGCCAATAAAGAATATTCTATTCTATTCTATTCCATTCCATTCCATTCCATTCCATTCCATTCTTTCATAATTCTATTATTCTGTTCTGTCCTGTCCTGTTCTGTTCTGTTCTATTCTTTTGTAATTTTGTTCTATTTTTATTCTATTTCTATTCTAATTTCACTGTATTCTATTCTCTACACACAGACAGACAGAGAGAGGGGGGGAAGGAGAGATTGTGGTAGATTTTTATTTTTCATTCAGGATAAAAAAAACCTAACAATCGTGCTAGGGAATGGAGGGATTTTTCTCTTGGAGAAACTTAGGGTTTTTCCCCCATTGTGCCAGTTCTGATCTTTTTGGCTTCTACCTGCCTCTTGGAAGTGCCTGTTATACTGGACTTGGCCTTGTTCTGTGGGCAATTTGTCTTTTGCACCTTTCTGTCCCAGTAATCTGCAAGACCGTTTATGACGACTTAAAAGCATTTACGCAAGTAAATTGTATTATC